CACCCACTATACTCATATTACTCCTGCATCCGAGGTCCCCAAGAACACCCACAGGTTTTATGGTTTACTACATTGACACACAGGACTCAGCAAATATACTCATGGCTATGATTGATTACAATGAAAAGATAAAATGCAAAATCAACAAAGGGAAAGGGAGCACTGGGTAAAGTCCAGAGGAAACCAGACACAAGCTTCCAAGAGCTCTCTCTCAGTGGAGTCACACAGAATGTGCTCAGTCCGTAAACAATGACCTGTAATGATATGTGTAAAACGTTTCAAACTCCTGGCCTCAAGCAATCCTCCTGTCAGGGGCTCCCCAAGTGATGGGATTACAGGCCTCAGCCACCGTGCTCTGCTAAAAGTTGTCTACCAGGGAAACTTATTATTAGACACTCAGTGCCCAGGATTTTTATTGGCAGCATCCTCTGCCTAGCACAGACCAATTTCCTAGACACACAGAAGGAAAGCCAGTGTTCAGCAAACCCACACTGTTTGCACAATTTAATCACAGTGACCCATTTATGTGAGTCCTGGAAATGGTAGCCCCCTTCCAGATCCATGTCCATAGACACCAACCAAGGGTCAACCTTGCAATTAGGCCTTTTTAAGGGCGATGGCCTCAAGCCTTCTATGTTAGTTTTTTCTGCACATTCCCTTAAAATATTGTTAACATATTTCCTTAAAGTAAAATAACAGTATTCATATTTCTGATATTGTCATAATATTTTTAAGTTTTTTTGAATTAACATCTAAACAAGGTTCATACATAGAACTCTTTAATACATATGAAGTTTTCTTTGACTTATAAGTTCCCCTTCATCTTTATTTTTTGCATTACTTTTCTGTTGAAGAAACCAGGTTATTTGTTCTTTGAAGTATCCCATAATCTGTTTACTATTGTATGCCTGAGGTATTATTATTTAATTTTCCTCTGTCCAGTGAAGCCTTTTGAAATGGGGTTTTAACTTGAATTGATCTCTTTTGCATACAGTTAGACATTTCGTCTTTTTTTTTTTTTTTCCTTAACTTCCCACACAAAACTGATGCAAACAATTTGCCTTTAACACCTAAGTCATTATGCAACTGTGTGAACTCTATTTTGAACACCCGGCCCTTGGGAAACAAGGTCACAGTCTCTAACATAACTGCTCCTGAAACACTTGCCTTAGCAATGTTTTTATCTGCAATGATTATTTTTGCCTGAAGCTTCTTTGCCCTTGCTTTAAAGTTCATTTTCAAAAACTCAATTGAAAATTCCATTAAGCCAGCTATTTTTTTCCCCCACTTAGTCGATGGATGACTGGCCCAGTTCCATAGCTGATAAAATGCCTGAAATGCGCAACAACACTACACACCACTAATTAAAAGAAAACACCAATTTTTACTTTATAAAAATGATGACAAGAACATTATCAGTCTCTTAGCAGTCACTGGGGTAGTCTTATGATATTAATAGCTTTAAGACTGAGAGCAAATTCTGAGGCACTGTCAGCCTCATAGGCTTTCAACTAAGTAATCCATTTCAGTTTTTAGAAATTGCAGCAATTCTTTTTCTTTATCTTAATATGAAGGGCTTTATACAGTAAATTAATAAAAACTTTCATAACATTAGAACAAATACAATGAAAACTAGTGGTGTATACAAATACTGCCAATGGAAAAGTTGAAGGTTGGGACTATTTAACCTAGAAAAGAGCAGGCCTAGGAGACAGTTTGAAAGAACAAATATGGCCAGGTGCAGTGGCTCACGCCTGTAATCCCAGCACTTGCAAGGCGGGTGGATCATCCTGAGGTCAGGAGTTCGAGACCAGCCTGGCCAACATGGCAAAACCCTGTCTCTACTAAAAATACAAAAGTAGCTGGGCATGTTGGCACGTGCCTGTCATCCCTGCTACTTGGGAGGCTGAAGCAGGAAAATCGCTTGAACTCAGGGGGCAGAGGTTGCAGTAAGCCACTGCACTCCAGCCTGGGCAATAATGCGAGACTCCATCTGAAATAAAAAAAAAAAAAGAAGAACAAACATTTCTAAAGCATGCACATATGCTTGGAAAATTAAGAGATTTTATTTCTTTTTTTGGCCATGGATGCATAACCACAGAAGTTCTACTCTAACATGGATGCATAACCACAGAAGTTCTATTCTAAAACTTTTTTTTTTTTAATTGAGCAAAAGATTAGGGCTTCAAGAATCTGGACTTACCAAGGCCTCAGAGAGGACTTCAGCAGAGTCAGCACTAAATAAAAGCAATTCTGAGGGTTTTAGTTGTTGTTGTTGTTGTTTACAGAAAGTGTTAAAAGAAAAACTTTAGACAGATTAAATTTAGCAACGTTGGTCTGGGTGCAGGCTCACACCTGTAATAATCCCAACACTTTGGGAGGTCTAGTATGGTGGACAACTGGAGTACAGGAGTTGGAGACCAGCCTGACCAACATGGTGAAACTTTGTCTCTACTAAAAATACAAAAATTAGCCAGGCGCAGTGGCACACCTGTAATCCCACATACTCGGGAGGTTGAGATAC